AATATTTTTGTTATTTAACTGAAATTTTAAAAAATTAATAACTATTTACATTTAATTATTTATTATTTTTAATTTTTTTTAAATATTAAAAATGAAATTCAAATACCACACCTATTAAATTAAATGTAAGAGAAATTTTTTATAGAGTTGAAGTGATTAGTAACCCGTTCCCATTTTTAACTATCCATTCAGTTAACTGCATTTGTCCAGTACAGTAAACAGGGAACAATTTCGGCAAAACGCAGGTGAACACCCATTCAGAAAAGCAATTATTAATCCGTACAAAACTGAAAATGCCAGCATGTGACTGTGTGGTGGAGGGATCAGTTTGATCAGAGATAAAAAGTATTTTTTTTTTTCTCTTTTGTAATAAACAGAGATAAAATGTTTGGGCGGATGGAAATGTACAATTATTACCAGCATCAGACACTGTACGCGGATGGGAGTGATGGCCTACAGCTCAGCTCCATGTGAAATGCGTCCTTGTGAAATTGAAAAGAAAATGCCACTCTCATTTATGAATGAGAATGAACAGTCATCGTCAAGGAATGTTTTTATCATTTAAAACAGTAAACAGTACTATTTACATTTATTTTTTTATAACTTATTCTGATTTTATTTCAGCCATTGAATCAAAATCTGATCCTATTTAAAAAAGTCGGTCAATGCACGTGTTTTAAACTTGGAAAAGCACCAAAACTCTTGGGTAACATTCAAGTTTCAACGTTAAATCTCAACCCTAGGATTAAGTTATTTCAATATAAACATATCATTTGTTCTCAGACATTAGCACTCCTACCACCCCAAACTTCTAAATTCATAATTTAAGTCCTAAATTTAAATTACATTCAATTAAAGCCTTAAACTATACAAAATTCCCAATGAAACTCTTAATTTGGACAAAATTTTAACAATCCCGTTAAATGCCTTATTAAGACGTCATTACCTATTACTCCTTGCATTGCGTGGCACCCCATGCGAGGCTGCATTAAATTCCTAGGCCACGTGGATTGCTTGTAGTAGGATTTTTGAAGGTGATGTGAAATTCGGGATGATTTAGATTCAAGCCTGACACTTTTTTAAAGAATTAATACAATTT